AACTAGAATTACCGCCCTGCGGTTGTTTGCCTCCGCCAGCCAATCAAGTTGCAGTTTACATCCATGTCTGTCCAGACTCATAATATATGTGGTAAAGACTTTGAAGGATTGATAAAAGGTATAAAGTTTATCTTTTATCTGGAATAGGCAAATTCTAATCATTTCATCCTTGAGTCCAATTGGACATTTCCTGAGGACAACCATAAAGCCTCCAGCCACAGCCATGGCCTGCATGGAGGCGTAAGTTTGGGTGAACTCATAGTGGGAGTTTGAACTGGTCACTTTGTACCTTTTGGAGCATTTGCAGCGTGAGGGTCCTGTCTTTGGCCAGCCGCTCGCACTCCTGAGATGCCTGCAGGCCGAGCTGGTTGGCCTGGTTCTCCAGAGCAGACACCTTCTCCTGAAGAGGACAATACAGAAATCTTCAATGCCAGCTGTGACAATAGCATAGAAAGTATTGTGTTTCCCAGTACCAGAGTGAAAGGATGTTGCAGTGCAAAACAGACTCTTGCATGTGGTAACACCAATTGCCTGTGGTGCCGTTTTGTTGGTGTAAATAACAGAACTGTGAAAAAGTAATTCTCACATTGTAGTAAGAGAATCAGCATACAGTCTCCAGATGGCTGAGGCCTGTTTAGCTGCTACCTCTCTGCCTCCTCTGTGAGTGTACACTGTTCTTCCTTTATACAGGATTCTAAACAGTGAAATATTTGCCATTGGCTGCTTCAAGTCTTACACAAAATCCACATTGTTCAAACCATAATGAGGATACTGTTGGATTCCAGATGGCCCACAGTCTCAGTCAGGTATTTCCTCACCTTCCTCTTGGCCACGCTGCTGTGGTACTCTGCTCTCTCCTGGAGCAGCTGCTGGCTGATGGTTTCTCTCTCCTCCTCCAGGCTGCTCTCTCTCTCCAGCTGCTGAAACTCAAGGTCCTCGAACTTTTTGGTTCCTGTCTCCAACGCCTCTCCATCCTGACGGAGGCCCACATACAACATCAGCGGTTACATCAGGAACAGGAAAAACACACTGTTTGCATTGCTCATTCTAAAGCCATCCACTATTCTCAGAGTAGCGTGTTTGCTGACGGCAAAGCGAAAACACCTTGACTTTTATATCTGAAACAGTTAAAAACATTTCCCCAGCATTGCTGAAGCTCTTTTTGGGGGCAACTAAAAGCACACGGTGCTAAGTCAGGCAGACAGCCATGAAGATCATGCTTCTACTGCAGCACAGCTACCAGTGAGCGTGCTAACTAGATGTACAGTAATACACAGGAGGCAAGGGACAATCATTGACATTAAAACAACTATATTGCACTGAAACAGTTGTAGTAAAGAACTGAACTTTTTTTTAAGTAACTTAACTTAATGTCATTTCATTCTCGCCTCCATCACTTACACTTAAACTGCTAAAGAATAAACACCAATAAACACCAACAATATTGGCTAATAAAGTTATAGTATAAATGCTATATGGAAAAAATGTAAATTACAAACTATACCCATCAATATATTTCTATTAAAATATTGATATAAAAACACTGCTGGCTGCATTGTAAATATATACACTACTGTATATTCAAGAATTATCTGCCAGTCCTTCCTGTTGTTACAATGTTGTTTAAAGTCCCCCTCCAGTCAGAAATCAGTTGTTCTTCTCATTCCTACAGTGTGCTGTGTGAAGGATGTATGTGCAGAGTTTGACACTAGAACTCGGAAATGTGAAATGTTTAATGAGGAAGAAGGAGGAGATTATTTTTTTAGGATTTTTATGTGGGAATGTTTTTTTGCGAGGGAAAAAAACATATCAGTTACACATTATTGTTCCAAGCAGAATATTTGTATATGT